TTTTCTACCAGTAATGTTATTCCGAAATGTGGTACTCGAACTGTCAGTTCTTGCCCCATAGTCTGTTTGTCAGCCTCTGACACAAGGAGGGCCGTGGCTGCATGTGCTCACAAGCAGGGTGGCCAGCCCTGGGCAACAGAGTCAAGCTGTTTGAAGAGATAAGCCATGGGATGGTGCCAAGATCCTAGCAGTTGGGTTAAGACCCCTACTGCGACACCCATGCGCTCGTGAATGTACAGAAAGAAAGATTTGGTTAAGTCTGGTAGTCCTAGTCCGGGGGCGTTAGTAAGTGCCTGTTCTATTTCTTCAGAGGCCTTCTGTTGTGTACATTCCCAGAGCAGGGGCTCCCATTCTCCCCCCTTTGTGGCTTCATAGAGGGGTTTGGTCAGGATGGAGAAATTAAGTATCTAGATTTTGCAGAAGCCAGCTATTCTGAGGAATTTGCAGACTTGTCGCTGGGTGGTAGGGATGAGAATCGAGCAGATCGTTTATTTCTTTGCTGGGCCGAGTTGGTGTTGTTCCTGCAACAGGTGGAAGCCAAGGTATTTGACTCTTTCTTGGCAGATTTGAGCCTTTGTTTTGGAGACCTCGTAACCTGCTTCCCAGAGGATTAAGGAGTAGATGCATTCCTTCCAATGCATTCCTCATAGGTCTTTCCTGCTAAGAGGAGGTCATCTACATACTGGAGGAATGTACAGCTGTGTAGGTTTGCCAGGAAAGTCTTTAAATCAGAAGCTAGAGCTGTTTCCAAAGATGGTCGGGGAATTCTTGAACCCCTGAGGCAGTCGTGTCCATGTCAACTGGCCCTTGTCTCCTCTTTCAGGGCTTTCCCATTAGAAGGCAAAAATTGGTTGCTCTGAGGAGCCACGTGAATGCAGAAGAAGGCATCCTTGAGGTCCAGACAGGTGAAATAGGCTGCCTGAGCAGGGATGAGGCCTAGGAGGGTGTATGGGTTGGGGACGACAGGGTGCAGGGTGACAGTCACCTGGTTGACTGCATGTAAATCTTGGACTGGCGAGTATTCATTGGTTTGTGGCTTCTGAACCGGCAGGAAAGGCGTATTCCAGGGTGATTGGCAGGGACAAAGAATTCCATACTTCAGAAATCTCTCTAAATGTTTTTGGATCCCCACTTGTGCCTTATGGGGGATGATGTACTATTTTTGGCGGGCTGGCTCAGCTCCTGGTTTTAACTCAATTACCACTGGAGGAATGTGTCGGGCCAGTCCTGGAGAGTTGTCTTCAGCCCACACTCTGGGCACCTTGAAGAGGGGCTCAGGTCCCTATTGGGACTCTTCTATGAGACTATAGAGGCACCATTCTTCTCCTTGGGGAACCGTGAGCGACATGATCTTTGCTTCTGTCCTCCTCAAAGTTAGGACTGCTTGGCCACGTGTGTCAAAGGTAATCTGAGCCTTTCGTTTTCCTAAAAGATCTCGTCCCATCAGTGCTACAGGGCAGTCAGGCAGATATAGGAATTCATGGATGACTTCTCGTCCTCCTAGGTTGCACCAGCGAGGCTGCAGGAAGGGGTGACGGATTCGTCCCCTGGTTGCTCTCATAATGGTAGCTTGTCTTTGAAAAAAGGGGCCCACGGGCCAAGTTACAACTGAGTGTTCAGCACCGGTGTCAACCATAAAGTCAATAGATCGGCCCCCCGACTATCATTTGGACCATAAGCTCCTGGGGGCCTAGCAGAATGGAGCCCGGTCTGGCCTAGTGCTGGCAACACAGGCTTCTTTTCCTTCAACTGAACTTGGGAGGGCACCAAGGCTCGGGCTAGGAGAACCCTACAGTTTTCCTCTAGGCAGACTCTCAACCAAGGGGTCAGCCGCAAACTACTGCCCCCCAGGAATCGATATAAGGGAATTGATCTGAGTGGCCAGGTTGACCGGTAAAGACTTGAGAGAACTTTGTAATGATTTCCTTATCAAGAGCTCCCTCTGCTGGCCGCCGAATGCCAAAAGAGGGCCAGTTGATCTCACAAAGGGTGCGGAGTTTCTGTGGGGTGAGTTTAACTCCATAATCTTTTGAATAACCCTTTTTAAAATTCTTAAGCATATAACCTAAAGGTGTCTGTTTACTCTGTCGTCCACCCATCCTTCCACCCGTGGTCAGTGATGCCCACGCACTCAGAGATTCGCCTCAGCCTTCTCCGGCCACTCCCCTCGCAGGGATCTTTTAGGCACCTCTTAGCAATTGGTGGGTCGGTGTAAACCCCCGACTCAGATCAGTGGAGTAGACTCCACAGAGATCCAGTGACACCACCCTAAGCTGTATGAGGTTCCTCACGGAACCGCGAATAGGGGCTCAACTCTCGCTTCATTGTCAGGTCACATCTCAGTCACACGCGATCACACACCACAAACACTCCACCCTCCTCCCAATATACCTGAGAGATCACGGGCTCCTCTAACAAATGTAGAGTACTCGGGTGACCTCGGGAGTTGATCAGACTCCCCTTCTGTCCTCTAACATATGAGGTTCCTCACGGAACCGCGAATAGGGGCTCAACTCTCGCTTCATTGTCAGGTCACATCTCAGTCACACGCGATCACACACCACAAACACTCCACCCTCCTCCCAATATACCTGAGAGATCACGGGCTCCTCTAACAAATGTAGAGTACTCGGGTGACCTCGGGAGTTGATCAGACTCCCCTTCTGTCCTCTAACAGACAGGCTGTTCCTGGGACCCGGGTCCTTACCACTGGGCGGTGCTGTGCTCCTGGGCTGGTTCCTGTGCATCTCCGGGGTCCATTGTGTTCTCGGGGCCGACAATCGGAT